ATATATGTATATATACATATATGTGAATAATGTATCGTTTATGATAGTTCTCTCACAAACGTTTGATACTTAAGTGAAATCTGTGACTCGTCACAAATTATAGGCAAGGTCATTCAGCTCTAGTCATTGACCCAGTCATGAAGTTATTTTTTTTAACGTAAAAAAGCAATCTCTACAATTTGCCTCCACTATTTTCCGCCTTCTGTTAACGTTTTCTACCTGATTCACATTGAATTCCTAGTAGTGCCGTAGTTTTTTCCTTTTGTAATTTGATCTCATCGTCTTTAATTACACTCAGTTACACCGCCTTACCTCCAACCACGTGATTAAAGGACCTTTCGCTGGGCAGCCACTGTTTGCATTGCCACTGTCGCCATTAATGACAGTATTGAGTACCACTGGAGCAGTGTAAAATGGACTTGAAAAGGAGACATTCTATAAAGCGTAACATAAAATGTATAAGTTCCATGTTTGATTTATCGTAGCATCAGTGCTTCTAAAGACGCACCCAGCTTCAAGGTGTCTGATGCTACACTTCTATGTTCCCGTGGAAGGAAAGGATTTTCGTTCGCTCGATGAGCTATTTTGAATATCTCAGTATCAGTATATGTTGTCTATGAACACTAGGTAGTTTTGTTTGGTTCTCAAGGCTTCATATACCTGCCATTTTTGTGGTTACTCAAACATGGGGTTGGTAGATAAGGTTTCACCAGCAGATAACAAGTAATTATTGGATGTAGTTCAGCATGACATCACGGATTATCAATGCCGTGGTCTCGGCTGAGGCAGATAACACAGACACGAGGTTTGATGATTCATGATCTCATGTGAAGCCGAATTCGATTATTGTCTTGTTATATATTTCTTAAACAAACTGTTTTAGAGATGACACTTCTCTCTGTTTTGCCAAAGTTTTAGAACACTACACGGATGAGGGGCTTGGAAACTTGGCAGACTTTGAACTCGATATGAAAAACCAGTATCTGCTGAGGATATTGGTTTTCATGTCAACTTCACGCGCTAATGAATTTTGACTGTATGCTCTCGACCGATCGGAATTTTCACAGTAAATCTAATGTATAATAATAATCACTCGATAATTTTCTCTTTCTCTACATTTTCCATTTATGAAATGTTGTGTTTTGAACGCGTTACCCCATGACTGCAAATATGTTTGCATATACCCCAGCATTACAGTAATGTTTTTTTAACGTTCCTATTCATCATATTATAACATTTTCGAGCTTCAGATGAAAGGCAAACATGCAATATGGAATCCAGCCTCGTGGGAATAGCTTTTGATTTAAGGAAAGGAATGCAATAATATTGTTCTGTACGAAATTATAAAATCAAACAACTCAGAAGCAAACATCAATTTTTGATGAAACGGGTTGTATAACTTGTCACTCGTTCAGTAATGAACCAGAGCGCTTGCAAGATGAACCAGCCTTGCAATAGTAATCACATTGAAAACATGAGGAAATAGCTAGTACACAGTCATACCTTACACAGAGCGTAACTGTCTCGCTCAGATGGTACGTCGTTTTCGGAAAACTTTACTACTGAGGACTCCTTGACCTCCCAAACTGACGGGTAATGTTCGTAAGCCATCCAGTTCTGTAAAGTGAAATAGCAAGAAAAAGCGTGAAGCAATTCAGTGCCCACGTGGAATTTATTTTGTCATGCTTGTGTTTTACATACCACCGAAAGCTTGTCGTGAAGGCCGCTGAATGTAGTGGATTCCTGTAAACAAACTTCAAACCGATTCGTGGAAACGTTTGCAATCCAAACATTCATGGAGTCCTGGTCTTTGTTTGGAATTCCATGCTGCACAGTGACGTGGATTTTGGGAACTGATGAAAATGCCTTAGATAAATGAAAATAACACAGAGGCTTTTTGTTTACTTTGCAAGGTAGTTATGATTGTTTTTTATAGAACTTGACGCAACTTTGAACGTGGAAAATGAAAAATAGCGGGAAAAGACGGAGAGACGGAAAGGAAAGGAGACATGTGTAAATAGATGGGAAAACAAATTGATAAGTGCTATGGATGGATAAACAAATAATAAGATATATCTTTGGGTAAAAGCAAACGCACATGCAGGAATGCAAGGGAGCAGAAAGATAGACTGAATAAGAAAGATAACGAAAAGAAGGAGCGAAAGAAAAACAAAAGAAAAATTAATTGTTTAGAAAGAGTAGATGCAATTGAAAAAGCAAAACAAAACAAAAGGAGTAAACTGAAGTGTGCGTGATAGAAATAGACGAAGGACGGAAGAGGGGACGGGAAAACGAAAAGGGTTTAAGGATGTGTACAGTTATGGACTAACCTATATGGTAGTAACAACTGACGGTAAAAGTCATCCATACCTGGGGAAAATTAACCCAGTTACATCGTGATCCAGTAGTGAAAAGATTAAAACGTGTCTGGCCATGGAATACTCCTGGTTGTGATCCTTGAAATGCAAACCAATCGATCAAAGCACTTTTGCCTCGTAAACTTTTGCCACTTTTTACCAGACAGGCCTTGAAACGGCTTGTTGTTACATCTTCGATCCAAATAAAAGCTAATTCATGCACCCCTGATGATTTTTTACCATAACGAATTGAAGCAAATACACTGACACGATTTCCGTCTCCCGAGAATTTGCCGCTAAATGACACGTACTGGCAGTTAAGGTCATCATTTGTCACTTGCATGTCAATCTTTCCCCTCTGAGCGGCTAGGAAAGATAAAAAGATTAAACTCTTTAAGTTACGTGATAGTCGCTAAATGTAAGCTTTACTTAATAAAAAAATTACTCTCAATCGTTTTTAAACGGTGTCATCGACGTCACAGTGAGAACATGTCAATCACGTTAAGCTACGTTAGCGTTAAATGGAGAGAAAGTTAATTAAACATTCTTGGGTCAATAATGCCTATCAAGGCAAGTTGTTGGCGTTTGATACAGTTAGTAATACTTTGTGCTTACAGAATATTAGCTCATGATGAGAAACTCCCCACGAGTATTGAAAAAGTGATTTCAAAGCTTTTTTTCGCGGTTGCTCGTATAGCTGTTACCGCTGATTGCTTTTCTCAGGGTCAATCGAAAGAAAATGTCAGTAAACCTGGAGACAGGAGACAATTTATAATCGCGTTCTTTCGTGTTTCTTACGACTAAAACTGGAAATGGGCCTTAAACTCTTGTCTTCGGTAATATTTGGAAATTTAAAGGGCTTATTGCTCATACCTTGCGAAGAGCAGCTGTTTTCAAGAAGGAAATGAAACGTCAATAAAACATGTTGTTCGCTTTAGAAAAAAAGATGAAGTAAAAATGTAAAAGGAAAAAAAACACTTGAATTTGGAATTTGAGAGACGGTAAGTTTTGTGACACTGCCATTCCGGTCTGACGGTATTTGTCAAACCTGAGCGAAGCAAGAACAGTACGAAAAGTTGGGTGGGTGGCACAGCCTCCCCTCCCCTCCCTACCCCTTCCTCCCCACCCCCGAAACAAGCCTATATATTTAAATGCGGAAATTGATACAATCAGATTTTTGTGATCTTCCGCAAATCGTCTCACTAGGATCGCACTTGGCCAAGTGACACGTAAGACTTTTTTTCTTTCCTTTTAAAGAACTGTATGCCTTTTCATGCTTTGTCACAAATCAATTGGGAACAAAAAGGACACTGTTCACTTTGCAAAGACAGTTGCTTGGGCCAAAGAACAACTCAGGTGTACTGATTTTCGATCGCTGTCTGAGCTAATTTCCCTCAGTTCATCTGCCAAACGGTTTATCAGCCCCAATTACATTTGCTTCTAAAGGAAAGTGGGGCATTTAATTTGGCAATAGCTACTCCAGCTCAACGACCGACAGCTTTTAATGTTTATTGCCTCGATTACATTTGCTTCTAATAAATGGGGGTGGGGCGTGGGGTTTTAAAAAGCTTGCTAAAAACTAGAATAAAGGCACGTTATGGGTCATGCTCGTGACCTGCCACTATCAGCTACTTTGCTAATTTACGTCTTTTTCTTGTTTTCGCTTGTAAAGAAGGAATTTTACAATATCAATCAAAACTTAAAAGCCCTCCTGTTTTGATTGGAAGCAAAATAAATGGAAAAACACGGAATATTTAGAATTACAGAGGAAATACCTTTGAGGCCTTCCTCCATCAAGCAAATCCATAGCAAAAGAAGCAAATTCTTCTTTGTCGAGAACAGAGAGAAAATCATGGCTTGATGATTATGAAGTGAGCTATACCTTAGTCCGGCATAAATGAACACTGCCAAACGAGTGATCGATGACTAAAAGGCATCCACATCTGTCATTTAACGGTTATTATTATACATTAGACTTACTATGAAAAATTTGATTGGTCGAGAGCACTTAATCATTATACAATAACGTGTGGACTTGACATGACAATGCCTTATCTGCGGAGGATATAGCATTTATCATGTCGAGTTCAAAGTCTAAAATGTTTCCAAGCCCCTCGTCCGTGTAGTGGTCTCAAACTTTTCCAGACTCGGCGCGGAGAGAAACTCAAAATGGCTGAACGCTTACAAAATGTGTAAAAGCAATTACTGAACAAGGTTTTCGCATAATATCATGAGTTAACAAACCTCGTGTCTGTGTTATCTGCATCAGCCTTTAGCTTCGGCAGATAACTCAGACTTCGGTTTTAAAAATTCATGATATCACTTTCAACCTCATCCGATCCATAATTTTTTCAGGTCAGGTCATTCCCAAATCCTTAGAAAAACAATTAAGTGATAAGTGCAGCTTAACTGTAAGCCGTAATTTCTTAAAAAATACTTTTTTTTCTGTGTTGATTTAGTCATCTGAGAAGGAAGGTATGATTGTTATGAATCAAAAATTCAATTAAAACTTGGTCAACAAATATTTACTGGAATTATGTTTGATAACAATCCTATTATCACCCGATATCGATTTGAACGATCAGTAAAGCGTTTCTGGCGTTTGACGGGGAGAAAAACAAATCTTAGCAGCTCAGATACACCAGCGGGGATATAGAAAGAAAAATCATCTGCCAATATAGCTTTCTTTCAATTAACGAAATAAATGAGCCAATGAAAACGTTTTATGCACGTTCCGTGTGTATCAGCGTTTGGTGTTTTCGGATATCGTTATCTAGCCAAAACAATGTAACGAAGGAAAACAAGACTTGCAAAGACACATTGCAGTTATCACCCTGTGAATTCAGCTTAAGTTGACCCTCTTTTTTTTTTTTTTTTCAGTTTCAAGGGTTTTATCTTTTTGGAAGTTCTGAAATAGTGTTCGGAAGTTTCCGGTAGCAAGTACATAATTATATACATATATACACCTACACTGTCCACCGTATGTTCTTGGGGGAAAGCTCAAAACACAAAAATCAGTTCTATCTGTTTACCGACATTCGTTTTAAATCATTTTTTTCGGCTGATCAAGGAGGGATACAAGCAACGTCATATAATGTATCACCAGCAAGCAGTGCTGTCTCTTTTTCACCTAAGGAAAATGATTTATTACGAGGGTCAAAGTCACCGATGCATGATCTAACTTATCTCAGCTGTTATCATTTTCTGGTTCCTTCTCCAAGCCAAGAACAACAAAACAAGTACAGGCACATCTAATTTGTTAACTATCGTCGGACTAAGCCACTAATCATTCCGTGAAGAATCCATGTGAGTGGTTTCACGATTCCTTGATCATGATAGGAACGATAGTGAAGACACTTCGATGTTATTGGAACCTTATATCTGTACTTGACATGTTCAAGATATGGACTTCTAAACTGAAGAGTGATGAGTTTAAATGTTGGTACGGCTAATCAAAGAGCTGCTTGCTTCACCAACGTAATTTGCTCAAATTAGGAGAGATACTTTACGTGATATACACCTTAAGACTTAATAGACTGGATGATTAGTATCAATTACTGAGAACCATTAAATTATTCTTTAATTTTTTCATTAAAATTTAGTTTTTTAATTATAGACTAGTGAGCAGCACTTCTGCGAACAGTAGTTGTAAAACTTCTTGTATTTTCCCACGCGTTTCGTCTAACTGTCGTAGACTTCTTCAGGGAGTTTTACAAGTATGACTAAACGCCTGTATTTATAAGCCAAAGTTACAGTGGCCGATGACCGTAAAGGCTCGGACTTACGAACAGGAACAGGCGAAGCCGTGAAAAATTTGTGAAAAATTTAACACTTGTAAGGCAAGGTGAGAAAAATATTTTGGGGGCCACGGTTTTAGCTAAAACCGTGGCCCCCAAAATATTGATGATCATCACGGGTTTATTACGAATCAACTTAACGGCCTGCTCCCAGTTGGCTTGTTAGCTCAATTGGTAGAGCGCGGCACTAGTATCGCAGAGGTCAGTGGTTCGAATCCCGTACAGGCCTGATTTTTTTCAGGTCTGATTTTCGCTATTGCATAAATAGCGCTCTCTACTGCGAGGATCGTGCATCATACGTATCTAATACCGCAGTTCAAAATATATGAACTTCATATATTCATTGTAAAAGATTATAGTGTTTCCTTTGAGAGTAGTCAGTTCACCTTGATGCGACATAAAAGGCACGAATCGTTTCATTTTCTGTTTACTATTTTAACGTAAAAGATGCTGCAAGAGACATCATTTTTTGTTTACTATTTTAACGTAAAAGATGCTGCAAGAGAAATCCCACGCGAAAATCGTCGTTTAATCTTGTGACAAACTGAAAATAACACTGGTTCTCAGTAAACACTTCTAAACATCCAGTTTATGGTGATTTTAAACCGAGTCTTAAAGTACATATCACGTAAAGCATCCATGCTAGACTGAGCCAATTACGTTGGTGAAGTAAGCAGCTCTTTGACTAGCCGTACCAACATTTAAACTCATCGTTGTTCGGTGTAGAATTCCATATCTTGAACATGTCGAGTACAGAATATAAGGTTTCAATAGCACCGAAGGGTCTTCACTATCGTTCCCATCAAGGAACAAACCACTCACATGGATTCTTCACTGAATGATTAATGGCTTAGTCCGACGATAGCCTAACAAATTAGATGTGCCTGTACTTGTTTTGTTATTTTTGGTTTGCATTGGAGAAGGTATCAGCAAATGATAACAGCTGAGATAAGCTAAATCATGCTTGCACTGGTGACTTTGACCCTTCGTAATAAATAATTTTCCTTAGCTGAAAAAGAGAGAGCACTGCTGGTTGAAATACATTAGATGATAATTAAGTTTAAGTTTTTTAAGTTTTAATTCATTCGCCACAGGAATGGCAGGAGAAAGGAACAGAACTTTCGTTCCAATTGACACCTAACCCTTTTTTACCCACCCATCCCACCCCGGGGAGGACATCCATCACACAGTAATCTCGTGTATGGGAAATTAACGTCTCCTACCCCAACCCTGCAGGAGACAGGACCTCTATTTATCGTCCCTATCCGAGAAGACTAGAAAGTCTAACCATTTGCAGATATTATTACAAAGGCAGCACTTTCTTCTCAGTTAATTAAAGACCGCGAGTGTTGGTCCAGCCGGATTTGAACTCACAACTTCCCACACAACAGTCTGGCACTCTACCAATTGAGCTAACCGGGAGGTGGTTAGCTCAATTGGTACCTTACAGTTCACCTAGTACAAGTTCTCTATAGCTCAGTGGTAGAACATAAGATTATAAAATCATCATAAAAAAAGTCTCTCTTTTTATAACTTTATTACTTTTAATTAGTACTTTATTAATTAATTATGGGATAATTAACAGAAAGCAATATCCCCTGCCCACAGTTAGCAGATTAGCTAGTAGAGGCGAGCAGTGGTTACACGTTTTTTGTATATATATATATCAATACAAATGGCTCACAAGAAAGACTAGAGAAAAAGAGTAAAAAATTTTATAATAAATAAATAAACAAATAAATAAAAATAAATTCAATTTAATTAAGTTTACATTGCAAATATAAAAAGCCAAGTTTTCAGGAAATTTTTGTTATTAAGTCAGATAAATTTCAGCCAAGAAAATTCTTTGCTTGGCTGAGATGCCTAAGGGGGCTTCTTGTGACGCCAGTTGAATTTGAAACTTAAATACCACCCAAAGTGGATAGTTAGAAAAAGGAAAAGAAAAGAAAAGGATAGAAAGGAAAGCGGTAGAGAGTAAAGATTGTTTAAAATGAAGACTGAAAACAAGTACTGCAAGTCACCTATTTTCCTCAACTGTCCATGTGCTTTCCTCTGAGTTTACTTTCGCATAAAGAGGACCACTCAACAAAACTTCTGTCCCAATTTGAAGGTCCACAGAATCTGCTGTTATATTACAGGTTATTTCATTTTTCTTGGTTCCTTCTGGTAGATCAAATTTTATTGTGATATCTTCACTGTCCTGAGACCATTTGTATACTTTTGCTGAAGAACTGTGGGACTCTACCTCAGCCATACCTGATGGCTTTTCCTCACTGTCACCTGATAAAAAAACAGAAGGTCATGTCAAATAAGAAATAACCTTTTTTTAAAAAAAAAAATCTTCACTAAACTTAACCCTTTAATCCATAAGAGAGACAAACATCTAATTTCTTTATNTATCATTTTTTATTTTTTATTTTCATTTTTATTATCATTATCAAAGATTATTACTCAGTTTAAAGAGGCAGTATTTAATTCTGAAAGTTCAAGAATAACACCTACGGCAAAAAACCAACCTTTTTGGCGGCTGCTTTAAACTGTTTACTCATTAACATATGCTTCAAAAGTACAGTGAGATTTTTTTCTGCAGCGTTCATATTACAACTACTCGAGAGAGGAGTAAATTTATAAAACTCTTGCTTATGCTGATTTTTGACCATACTTTCTTTCAAAATTTGTTTGTTTCGAAATAAAACATCTGTCCATGCAAATAGAATTTTAATCTTGCCACCCGCAGATACCTGGCGACATCAATAAAAAGACAAAATTGTAGAGTTAACTTGCCTCTTTAGAGATTGTGAAAGGTATAATTACTCTTATTTTCTACTTTTCTTTTTTAAAAAATTATTTAGGAAGTTTTACAAAGCATCTGTGACCTATACGAGCTCGTCCGTGCGAGTTTATTAACAAGAGGGACGTGGTTGATTATACCATGGGTAGGGGGGTAAGCCTCCTTTTAATTGCCTCTAATAGACACTTGTCTGTTTTTGTAGTACCCACAATGTAAAGATGAAGCCATTAAATAATGAGCGTAATTTTTTCAAAATTAAGCCTACTTATACTTCGCTTTTCAATAAACATTTGTCTCGTTTGTTTGTTTTTTTTTTTGTTTTTTTTTGTTTTGTTTTTTTTCATGTTTCTAGAAGCCTTCGTAAGAAATTTAAATTTTTTTTCCTTCCCGGAACAAACACTCAACATTTTCTTTTTTCCCGCTTACCAATGTAGAAAATCAAACTTTCTGGTGGTTATTCCCTATATGAAAAACATTGCCTTAAATTAAATACCACTTGCGAACCCTAGAGGACTACAAATTACTTTCAAATGCCACGGTTTGGCGCTATAATGGTTCTGCATTGATAATGTCCATCATTTTAGAGAGTCGCCATCTGTTCAATAATGAATTCAAATCTATAATCAACTTTGGAAATAATAGTCTGCCCTGCGTCGTATCAATTTCATTTTACTCTAGTTTTTCTCACGAAACTATTTACTTGTAAAAAAGACTGCCTCAGGGCATTCGGAAACTCCTCATCGTTTCCTACCATTTTTCGAATCTAAGCCGCCCGATATGAACACCACAAGCCCGCAAAATTCTACTTTGGTTCAGGACTGTTCTGGTGCACTAAAAAATGCCGAAATAGTGATTTTGTCAGCGATGAACAGCGTGTTGGCGCTACTTTCCGTTGTCGGAAATGCACTCATTTTAGCGGCCATTTACAGAGTTGAAAGCCAGAGGACTCCTTCCAATGCCTTCGTTGCTTCCATGGGGGTCGCAGACTTCTCAGTGGGTCTGTTTATGAACCCTCTGTGGGTTGCAAAGAGTGTGTTGAATATCTGGAAAAGTGACAACCAGCTTTCGACTGCCATTGAGGTCCTGACCATGCAGACGATCGTAGCCACTACCTTCAGCTTATGCGCAGTAAGTGTGGATCGCTACATAGCGGTGACTAAAATGCGTTACAATGAAATTATGAATTGGAAACGCATCCGAAGCACAATAACTTTCATCTGGATATTTTCCTTGTTGTTTGCGTGCTTGCGTCTCTTCATTACAGATCCCCTTCAGCTACCAAAGTTATGGCTGGCCGCGACAGTGATCACTGTCATAGCACCTTTAACGATCATCTCAATCTGTTATTATCACATCTTCAAAGCAGCAGGCTTTCAAATGCGAAAAATTTCAGCCTCCGTAGGGACTCGAATTAGTGCCGATCAAGCTATCACGCAGCTTAAACACCGTAAGGCCGCTCTAACTATTGGAATTGTTGTTGGTGTTTTCACAATTTGTTGGACCCCAAGTCTGGTGATCTCGCTCATTCAGTTCTTTACTACCAATAATTGCCAGAAATTAATAATAAATGGCTATTGGTTTTGGGGAGCCCTGGCAGAATTCGGCAACTCGGCTTTTAACCCTTTCATATATTGCATCAGAAGTAGGGACTTCAGGAAGGCTGTAAAGAAGGCGATAGGTGAATGTGTATATTGATTATAGCTTTTACCTCGGTGAAACCTATAATTAACATTTAAAAAACCAGACAAGTTCGCAGTTTTAAACCAGGCTGTCGCGTAAAAAACAATTTGCATGAAAAATGTGTCACTTAGAGGTTTTAAATCGAAGTTTTAATGATTTTTCGTCTTCACCCCGTAACGTATCAAAACCTCCCTTGATATCACCAATGCTGACGAACGAAATTCGCGCAAAGAGCCTCGCTAAGATCAATTCGAACTAGTTGTTAAAAGCTCTGGTGAAAGACGTTCATTGGGAAAAAATACCTTATATTAAGTAAAATTGAACGGAAAATAGATTAGCATATATATAGTGACTATTTGAAACTCCAAACAAAGTCCGTAATATATAAATTTCAAAAGCTAGTTTGGTTTTCTATGCCAACATGACAAATTATTTATTCGGCATTTTGTGAAAAAGTTTCTTATTATGTTTATTGCTTGCTGATTAGGTAAGGTGTTTATCGTAATAATTTCAGTTCGTCTCCCCTCAGATGTGCCCCAATATGCAAGCCAAGGTGTTCTTAATATATAACAATTTTTTTGCATAATGTAAGTGTCATTAATTGACCCCGGAACTTTTGAAACAAAAAAACAAAACAAAACAAAAAAAAAAGAAAACTAGCAAACATCATGCAACAAAACATCCTTTCCCGTATTTGCAGTTCTACTTCTCAATAAAACATATGTTTCGTTGTAATTTGGATATATCAACAAAGTTGAAATGGTAAATTGGCCACTGTAACGATTACAAAAGCTGACGTTTCGAGCGTTAGCCCTTCGTCGGAGCGAATAGAGGAATTGTGGGTTGTGTGTGCTTTTAAAGGCAGAAAATGGAGCTACGTTATTGGTGGGAGCATGGCAACGAGAAAAACAAGAATAAATTAGTGGAATGAAAAGCGTTCGTTGATCCCTGTGGGATTTAGACTGCCGGTTTGAAAGATGAGCTTTTGTTCAAGATTTTTACGGCTTTCCGTGCAACCTAAGTGTAAGGAAAGACCGCAGATTGCCATATGTTGCTTAGAATGATTAGGTAAATTAAAATGTCTAGCGACTGGTTTCGATGTGTCCTTGTCATTCCTTTCCACGTCTCGAAGGTGTTCTCGGAATCGGTCACCTAGTCTTCTGCCTGTTTCGCCGATGTATATCTTTTTGCAATAAGTGCAAGTTATGCAATAGATTACATTGGCGGAGGTGCACGTGAAGTGATCGGTGATCTTAATGGATCGTTTAGGTCCCGATATTTTATCAGTGTTGTGAAT